CCCCTAAATAATATAGGGTAAAAACCACGGGCAACAGTAGAAGAATTTCACTATGAGAAAATAGGAATTACAACTCTCGATCTACCAAGGAGAAAACAATGATAATTCTCTCTCTTGATAAAAAGGAGAAAACAACTCTCAAGAAACTCTATAAATTCTCTAGTATTGGAAGAAAGCTAGAATGCTTTGGGATGACTTTGAAGCTAAATGAGCTAGGGTATTTATAGTTGAAGCTTAAGGACTAATCTTATAAATACCCTAAATTGCAATGACTAAATTTTTCATTTACCCATTACATAAATTCAACAATTTGGTGGCCAAATTTGACCAAATTTGTCGTCCAATAATGCTTCCAAATTGTTGCCCCATTATTTCAGCAACCCATGCTTTATTTTTCAATAGATCACAAGTTTAAACAGCATGATGAGCATTCATTTTCAAATGATTGAGAGTATTTAGAACAAATATTACTTTATAACCTTAGTTTAATCAAAAATTTATCTTAGTTTTTATTAATCGTTGTTGTTTCTAGAGATCATGAGTTTGAACAATAGGGTGAGCGTTCATTGTCAAATGATTAAGAGTATTTAGAACAAATACTACTTTATAACCACTTTAGCTTAATCAAAATTTTATCTTAATTTTTATTATATTTTTTATTTTTATATTATATTTAATATTTTTTTTATTATTTTATTATGAAAATATATATTTTAATTTTTTAAAATGAATATTTTTAAATATTTTAATTTACACTCGTTTAATTCTCTATTATTTTAAAATTAAATATATAGACCTCTCTTGAAAAAAATAAGAGTTTTTTATTTAGTGTTTTTTTTAAATGGGTTATTAAGAACAATTTATAATAGCTTCTAACCGCACATGAGGCTCATGTGTTCAATTGTGATAGGATAACTTTTAAATAAAAATTAAAGATTTTATATTTTTTTTATAAAATTGAATTAAAAAATTAAATATTTTTATATCATCTTTTCAATTAATTTTTACTTTCTCTCCAAATCTAAAAAAATTAAATGCAAGTTTCAATTAAACATTTAAATATTTTTATAATTTAAGAACTATAATGAATTTTTAAATACAATACATCAACTCTTAATAAACTTTTTTTTTATTAATCACCGGTATCCGATCTATTAACCAACTAATCCAGATCGGGTATTGCAGAGGCGAGGACGACCCTCCCAACCCAAGTTACTCAATTCGTAAATGCCATACCTTACTTAAATAACCTAGTGGTTCATCTCACTAGATAATAAACTTTAATCATTTTATTGATTTGTTATTTTTTTTAGAGGTATCATATTCAAATAAAATAAGAGTTTTTATTAATACGACACTGATGGTCTTCTACAACATCGTTTGTTTTTAACGCCGGAATGCATGCAAAGCAGAATATATGCGAGTCGACGTCTGGGTTGGGTTTTATCCAAAAGCCTTGAAAGGGAACAAAGTGTTGCAGAGGAGAGAGCGTTCAAGTAGCAAGATTTGAATATGCTTAATCACTTGGTGTTGCGAATGTCAAGAGATTCTTTCAATGAAATGAAAACATAGATAGGAGGAGTCAAAAGAAGCCACTGCCGAAAGATTAGGAGTAAAAGGTCCTCCCACTTGTTGTCGTTTGGATAACAAGGAATTTCAGTACAATAAGAGTCGAGGTTTAATATACCAATTGGTCCTTAAACTTACTAAAATTTAATTTTTAAACCATTTTAATAAAATTGAATCAATATTGTTTTTCTAAATAATATTAACTATATATTAATCTTCGACAAAAATTTGCCATTGAAGTATGCCCCTTTAGCCACCACCAGTCCACTATTATCTACACCTTATCCATTTACCTAGTAATACCACAAGCACTACACAAAGCATCATTCACACCTCCATGCGTAATCTGCGTGCCATTAAACCTCAGACGAATACAATCCCTCAGCTCACAAATAACACCAGCAACACTCTGCTTCCTTTGCCCATAAAGCCTATTGTTTTTTTCCTTCCAAACATGATATATAAATCCACTCCATGCTACCCTTAAAAGAACAGAGAAAAAAGTCCTACCCCTCGGACGAGCCACCCCAATGACACCTTCTGCTCCCAAGTGCCCACCTGCCTCCTCACTTGGCAAAGCCCAAAGACCTCCTTCTAAACCTGTTTAGCAAATTCACAACCAAAAAACAGATGGTCCCTCGACTCCACCACCCTGGAGCAAAAACCACACTCCCCCACATCAGTGACTTACAGGCTCAACAGCATGCTCCTAGTTGGCAGTCTGTCCATCATCGCAAGCCAAGTCACAATGGCAAATCTCAGTATATGAAATGAAAATCAGACCAACTGACCCCATACCACCTTCTCATGCCTCTCTCGAAGCTCGTATCATATCTACTTAACCTGAAATTTACCAGAACATAGCCAGCAGCCCGATCCCGCATCAACAAACTGACTTGCTTTAGCCCTCCACTTGACCAGTTTCCTCCAAAACCAACCTCATGAACGAGGAGCAGACCACTCCACGAAAGAGCTCCCTTTTAGGACACAAGTCTCCGCCCACCGAACCCACAACGAGTCAGCTCTCGTTACCGACCCCCAAACATGCTGCATCATGCTAGAAAGATTCCAGGCCTCCAAATCCCTCAATCCCAAGCCCCCTTCACTCCTCGGCATACACACAGTCGCCCAACAAACTCTAGCCCCCGTTGCCATACTGTTATCCCCCTTCCAAAAGAAACGAGAACACAATTGAGACATTCTCCTAACAACTTTTGGGAGCACAAAGTATCGACACCAATAAGCTTGGATACTATACAACACACTTTGCACCAACTGCAAACGACCCCGTATGAGATGAACTTAGAAGCCCAACTACTAACCCTCACATCCAACTTCACAAAAAGGGAAACACCGTCAGTCTCAGTAAGCTTGCGAGTAACCAAAGGAACTCTCAAGTATAGCGCAGGAAGCTGCTCAATCTTAAACCTTGTAATATCCTGAACAACCATAAGCTTTTCACTACTCATACCCGAGCAAAACACCTCAGTGTTGAAAGGATTTAACTGTAACCCCGACATCCTATAAAACTCCTCTAACACACACAAGATTCCCACAACAGACTCCACATTACCTTCGGCGAAGATTAATAAATCATCTGCAAAGCTCAAATGAGTTAGTCTAACCCGTTTAAATTTGGGATGATACCTGAAAACATCCCCCTCAGCTGCAATGTCCAACATTTTAGAAAGAACATTCAAGACAAGGACAAAGATATAGGGGGTCCCCTACCTTACACCCCTTGCTCCTTGAAAATAGCCTTCCAACCCACCACTTTAGTAATCGAAAAACTAGAGAAACCAACACACCCCCAAATCCATTCAATAAACATACTAAAAACCATACTCCTCCAGAACACACAACACAAAGTCAGAACTTTTAGTTTCTATTATATAACCGTTTTATTTTATCATCATTTTTACCATTGTTCGGTGATAAATTTTTAAATAAAAAACCACTAAATTTATCCTTTTTTTTATTCTCTCATTTAGTTCAAACTCCTTGGGTAATATTTTAATATTCTCAAATCCTAATAAAAAAGTAAAAAAATATTTTTTAATAGGTTACTATCGAAAGTAAAAAAAACGACGGTGATTGTATGAAAGATAATTAACTAGTGAATGTAATGTCAATTGTAAGAGTTAAGTGACAAAATTGAAAACACTACAAATCCAACGATCACCAATGTAGTTTACCCTTATATTATATTAGGTCACGATGATTTTTATAGGAAAAACAAGAAAAAAATGTTTTGACGTCATAGAGAAAAGGAACGGCGTCGTATTATCAGCTGTAGAAACAATAGACGTAGGAATTTTTGTCAAAAGAAAAACTGCTAAACAAATATAAGCCATCGATTCAAGGGAGAGAGAAAGAGAGGTAACGGTGGGGAACACAAAGAGAGGGCCAAATACTCCCCCTCATAAATCGTCGCTCTCTGGCTTTTCCCATTCTCCAAAAAACATTCTTCTTTTTCTTCTCCATTTATCGTTGATTTTTATTTTATTTTCTCTTTGATTTCAAAATACTCTCAATCAGGGATTTAAATTGCGGTCGCGGTCGCGTTGCGTTTATCGCAGTCGTGGACGTAACGGATGCTATCGCGGTCACTGCGGGTATCACGGACGTGATTTTTTTTTAAATTCGCACAACTTATTATAAAATATAGTAATTATAATTATAATTATAAAAAATCACTTTTAATTATTTTTAAGAGTATTTTGTAAAAAAAATTTATCTCAAACGCCTAATTTCTTTTGTACAATAAAAATAAAAGAACAATCAAAATACAAATCGATGCCAAACAGTCTACTTTTCTATTACAAATTCAATAGCTCAAATTACAACACAAATTAAGACAAACCAAACATTAACCCATTTAACCCAAACCCGGTTAGGGCCCGTCCAGCAACCTATTATGCAAACAAGTGATTCCTCCAGTAACCAACTAGCACCACTGTCCTCCAGAAGCTTCTCCAAAGATGCTTCATCAGGAATTCATGCAAAAACAGAGAAAAAGGAACCCTTAAGAGAGGCAATGCAGTTTGCTCGTTCAAGGATGAAGCCTTCATCTTCCTAAGCGTTCATCTCCCTCGAACTGAACAGTGAATAGAGAAGCAGATGAAGCCGACGCCTGCCGGAAATATCAGCTCCAGCTGTGGTAGTGGTGGTGAAGGGAGTCAAGCTGGACTCGCTCGCTTGCGCTCACCTCCAACCACCTGGTTGGAAGCTCTTCTCGAGGAAGACGAAAAGGACCCATTAACGGGAAAAACGGTCCGTTATAGCCGCGATTGACCGTTACCCGTTAAATTACAGTCATTATCGGCCGTTATGGGTATGATTCCGTTTCACGTGATTTTGGCTGATATCGGTAACGGGAGCCGCCGATACCACGATATAACGGCCGTTTTTTTAATCCCTGCTCTCAACTACAAAAACAGAGGTCCAAAACTACCATAAACACCATATAAGCATGAGCAGCTCATTCGCTTCCTCTCGCAAGGCTCGGTTCCTCCTCCATCTCACTTCACTCCTTTGATTATTTTTCAATTTGGGTTTTTTTTGTTTTTGTTTTTGTTTTTGTTTTGATGGGTATCTGATATTTTTTTTGTTTATATTGTTTAGGCACTTAGTAAGATTGCTTGTAATCGCCTACAAAAAGAGCTGGTAGAGTGGCAGGTCAACCCTCCCTCCGGTTTCAAGCACAAAGTCACCGATAATCTTCAAAGGTGTTTGATTGACTTTCATTTTTTCTTCATTTTTTCTGATTAGATTAAAAAAATTATACTTTTTAATCTTATTTTTGACTTTAAAAAGGTGGGTAATTGAAGTCAATGGAGCTGCGGGAACTTTGTACGCCAGTGAAACATATCAGCTTCAGGTGGATTTCCCTGAACATTACCCTATGGAAGCCCCCCAGGTTTGATTTTTCTTCGAAGCCCCTTTTTTGTATTTTTTTATTTTATTTCTCATTTCCTTTTAATTTTTTTTGAATTATTCATTTCCTTTTAATGATTCTGCTCTTCTGGGTTATTCTTTGTAGGTGATATTTCTTCAATCAACACCTCTCCATCCACATATTTACAGCAATGGTCATATTTGTTTAGGTTCGAAATTTTGATATTTGGTTTCCATTGATAGTACATGCTCTCAAATTTTGCATGTGTATTTTTTTTATCTTTTATATAGATATATATGTATTGCAGTAGACATGTCATGCTCTGATTTCACCTTTTGCTTTCAATTTATTTTTTTATCCATTTATCCTTTTGAAAATGATTGAGTTTTGGGGATACCCTTGCCTCGGTGCTAATTTGTTGGTACCTTCAAAAATGTTTTCCTTTACATTACTAAAAGGATCATTGATGCTTATGTGAATTTGGATATTACTGTATCATGTATCTATCTTCATATCCTTTACACCAAATATATACTCTATGGAAAATAAAAGGTTTTGTCTCAAATACTGTATAGGGAAAGAAAATGGAGAAAGAACGTTCGAGACATTGCTTTAAGTAGGATAAATTTATTCTATAACCATAGAGAAAAGAAAGAGGAGGAAAAGTTAAAGATGGTTGCTTCGAGCGGTATAGATGAACCTTCCATTAAGCATGAACTTTGCAAGACTTCAACGGAAATTGGATTTCTTTCATTGGTATCTCTCGGTATATGATGTTTGAGAACTATAATCTAGCCTTTTCTTCTCCTTGTTCATGGCTGTGGGGTGATTTTTTTTCATTTTTGCTTTTTTTAATTGGACAAGGTGGAGGATAAAATAGCTTGGGAAATGAGCTAAGGATAACGTTTTTATACACTTGATGTGCCTTTCCACCATTTTTTTTGCCAAATTCAAAGCATAGTTGATTTTGTTAATGTAACAAATACTTAAATTCCAGATGCCCTCTCTCTCTCTCTCTCTCATGCACACACCAATGCGCACATAGTTAATTTGCTCAATTTCCACATATATGTTCTATCTTTATTGCTTAACTATTGACATGGCAGGCTCGATGCATGATTGTTCCGTTTTATTTTTGTAGACATCTTATATGATTCATGGTCCCCAGCCATGACAGTTGGGTCTATCTGTTGGGTAAAATGGGTTATTTCCCACACGAACGTAGTTTTAAAATTGACCTAAAATGTCAAGATTAAGACCACCAAAGGTTGTACAGCGGATAAACCTGTCAAACTATTGAATATTGAAACACAATGGAAAAGAATCGAATAAAAAACAATAAAGGAGAGAACACACCAAATTTACGAGGTTCGACGAGAATATCGTCTACTCCTCTGGCACCACACCGGATGATAACTTCACTATATCGTCAATATTAAAACAAATGGAATTCTTTGGAATTCCCAAAGTGGGAGAATGAAGAATACAAGAGGAAGAGAGAATTTGTTTTTGGGATGATTTCTAATGGAAATACTTAGGCCTATTTATAGTTGAGTTTCAAGAACAATATGTTCAAAGTTTGGCCACCTACCAAAGAATTTTCCAATGTGTACAAGTTAGCCACCAAATATAAAATTCACATGTTCAAAGTTTGGCCACCAACCAAGATGAAATTTCCAATAAGTTGGCCACCAACCAAGATGAAATTTCTAACTTGTCAACTTAATTTCTAGACAAATCTAACAAATCTCCACATTGGCTTGAAATTACCAAGCCTACTCAACTTCTTTAACTCCCCAAATTTGTAGTGCCTCTAATTGCACTCACAAGCGCCACACACCCGAAGGTGTTCATACTTTCAGGATGTTAATCAAGTTCAAACAATGATTGAACTTGATTACTGTTACTACCTTGATCATCATATCTGCAGGATTTTCTGATGTCGCAATTTTCTGAAGTAGAATCTTTCATTCTTCAAAGATCTCCCGCACAAAGTGATACCTCACGTCGATATGCTTAGTCCTTGAATGGTAGACTTGATTTTTCGCTAAGTGAATAACACTCTGACTGTCACAATAGAGACTAATGTGACTTTGAACAACTCCCAAGTCTTCCATCAACCCGTTAAGCCAAATTGCTTCCTTTACAGCCTCTGAAACTGCCATGTATTCTGCCTCTGTAGTAGACAAGGCCACCGTAGATTGCAATGTAGACTTCCAACTTACTAGGGCTTTAGCAAGAGTAAACAAATACCCAGTAGTTGATCGACGCTTATCCAAATCACCAGCATAATCGGAATCAGCATATCCAACCATACACTGACCAAGTGTTTCATCTTGTTCAAAAACTAAACCAACATCCACGGTTTGTTGGAGATACCGTAGAATCCATTTCATAGCTTGCCAATGTCATTCTCCAGGATCATGCATGTACCTGCTCACAACTCCAACTGCTTGTGAAATGTCAGGACGCGTACACACCATTGCATACATCAAGCTCCCAACTGCATTAGCATATGGAACTTTTGCCATATACACTCGTTCTTCGTTAGTTTTAGGAGATAATTGAGAACTAAGTTTCAAATGAGAAGCCAATGAGATACTTACATGTTTGGTATTTTCATTCATGCCAAAACATTGTAATACCTTTCTCAGATACTGCTTCTGTGTGAAACAAAGCTTCCCTCTCTGTCTATTTCTGCTTATCTCCATACCAAGAATCTTCTTAGCCTCACCTAGATCTTTCATCTCAAACTCTTGATTCAACTGAGCCTTTAATTTTTCTATCTCCTTTTGACTCTTCGAAGCGATCAACATATCGTCAACGTACAAGAGAAGATAAATGAAAGATCCATCTTTGAGCTTTTGTAAATACACACAATGATCATATTTGCTTCTAGTATACTTTTGCCTCCTCATAAAGTTATCAAATCGCTTGTATCACTGCCTCGGAGATTGCTTCAATCCATATAGCGATTTGTTCAGCTTACAAACCCATTTCTCACGACCACCATCTTTGTATCCTTCTGGCTGAGTCATATAGATCTCCTCTTCTAAATCACCGTGCAAGAAAGCCGTCTTTACATCAAGTTGAGCTAGCTCTAAATTCAACTGTGCTACCAAGGCCAACAATATTCTAATGGAGGAATACTTCACAACAGGGGAAAATACTTCATTGTAGTCGATTCCCTCCTTTTGAGCGTAGCCTTTAGCTACCAACCGTGCCTTGTAGCGAACATCTTTCTTGTTATGAGATCCATCTTTCTTTACAAATACCCACTTGCATCCAATGGCTCTTTTACCTTTTGGTAATTGTGCCAGTTTCCAAGTGTCGTTCTTTTGGAGAGATTATATTTCTTCATCCATGACACTTTTCCACTTATCACTTTCCAAGCTTTGTATTGCTTCTTGGTAAGTGATAGGGATATCATCATCAACAACTGGAAGAGCATAGGCCACCATATCAACAAATCGAGCAAGTCTACGAATTTCTCTCCTTGGCCTTGTAACTGCAAGTGTTTCTGGTGTCTCCAATGGTTCTTGGGTTTGAACCTCTTCATCTTCTGATTCTTCTATTGGAGTTGAAGAATCAGTTGCATCAACTTCTGGGATCATCATCTACTGAAACTCCACCTGTTTTGGAGTATGCTCCACCTACTGCGGAGTACTACTTGTCTGGACAACTTCACTTGTTACCTTCTTTACTAGGGCATATTCATCAAAGGTAACATCTCTGCTACAAATTATCTTCTTGGTGTCTAAACACCAAAGGCGGAATCATAATCAGTAGCAGGTTTTCCAGACCATACCTCCAATGGTGTTTTTCCTCCTATCGCTGATGACGGCAGACGATTAATGAGATAGCCAGCATATGTCACAGCCTCAACCCAAAATGTCTTGCCTAACCCAGCATTAGACAACATACATCGAACTTTCTTCAATAGTATTCGATTCATACGCTCTGCCACCCGATTCTGTTGTGGTGTATGTCTAACACCGAAGTGTCGAATAATACCATACTCATGGCGAACGTCAAAGAATGGGTCACTTTTATATTCCCCTCCATTGTCCGTCCTAAGACGTTTGATCTTTCTACCAGTCTGGTTCTCGATCATATTTTTCCATTTCAGGAAAATTTGAAGCACTTCATCTTTAGACTTCATCGGATACACCCAAACTCTTCTGGAAAAGTCATCTACAAAAGTTACAAAATAATGGTTTCCTCCCAAAGACGATGTCTTTGAAGGACCCCATACATCTGAGTGAATATAATCTACAATACCTTTTGTATTATGTATAGTGGTGCCAAACTTCACTCTCTTCTGCTTTCCCAGAACACAATGCTCGCAAAAGTTCAATTTGCAAGCCTTTGCACCTTTCAACAATCCTTTCTTTGCCAGAATTTGCAAGGATTTCTCTCCATCATGTCCCAACCGCATATGCCACAACTGGGTTGCGTCCAAATCATCACCTCCGGAAGTTGCTGCAACTGCTCCAATAATTGTACTACCTTGGTAGTAATACAAATTATTTTTCCTGATGCCCTTCATCATCACAAGTGCGCCATATGTGACTTTTAAAACTCCATCTCTCATAGTGACTACTGAGCCTTTGGATTCTAAGGCTCCAAACGAGATGAGATTTTTCTTCAAACTGGGCATGTATCGGACATCCGTCAGAACTCTGGTTGATCCATCTTGATTCTTTAATCGAATTGAACCTATCCCAACTGTTTTACAGGCATTGTCATTGCCCATATAAACAACTCCTGCATTTAGTTCCACTAAATCGGAGAACCACTCCCGATTAGGGGACATATGATAGGTGCAACCCGAATCTAATATCCACTCATCGGAATGGAATGTTGTTGATGAAGCAACCAATGATATGTCAGAGTCATGTGCATCATGCTCTGCAACACATGCATATGGAGCAGCTTTTCCTTTCTTCTTCAGCTTCGAACAATCTTTCTTCCAATGGCCTTTCTCATGACAAAAGGCACATTCATCTTTTCCCAGTCTGGACTTCGACTTTGATCTCCCTCTCCACTTTGGCTTTTGACTTTTCGAGCGACCTCTTGCCACCATGGCCTCTGCTGCTTCGTACTTGCTCTCCTTCTTGGTTTTCTTCCTGAGTTCATAACTATACAAAGCAGCAGTTACATCTTTAAGGGTAACATTATCCTTACCATGAAGTAACGTTGTCTCAAGGTGCTCAAATTCATCTGGAAGAGATGACAACAACATCAAAGCCAAATCTTCATCTTTGAAGGTTTCATCCATGCCCAATAAGTCTTCCACTAGCTCATTCAACGCAGTGATGTGTTCATTCATACTGGTGTCTGGTTGATAATCAAATCTGAACAATCTTTTCTTCATGTGGAGACGATTTTGAGAGCTTTTCTTCAGGAATTTTTCCTCCAAAGCTTTCCACATCTTACTTGCAGAAGTCTCGTTATTGTAGCCATATTTCTGCTCCCTGGAAAGACAAGATCGAATCGTGTTGCATGCCAAACGATTGATTGTTCCCAATTCTTTCTCCTCCATATATTCGGGTTTTTCTTCCTCAATGGCGATGTCTAGACCTTGTTAGAATAAAGCGTCTAACACCTCGCCTTGCCACATGCCAAAATGACCGGATCCATCGAACAACTCTACCGAGAAATTTGCATTTGACATCACCCTCCTCACCGGTCCAGATGAAGAGCTTGATATCTCAACTGATCCGTATTTTGGCATTTTAATTCTAACGAACAATATTCAATATCACGAACTGTATCTTTTCAGCAACGGAACCACCAGGATAACCTCAACCGAAGCTCTGATGCCAATTGTTGGGGAAAACGGGTTATTTCCCACACGAACGTAGTTTTAAAATTGACCTAAAATGTCAAGATTAAAACCACCAAAGGTTGCACAGCGGATAAACCTGTCAAACTATTGAATATTGAAACACAATGGAAAAGAACCGAATAAAAAACAATAAAGGAGAGAACACACCAAATTTACGAGGTTCGACGAGAATATCGTCTACTCCTCGGGCACCACACCGGATGATAACTTCACTATATCGCCAATATTAAAACAAATGGAATTCTTTGGAATTCCCAAAGTGGGAGAATGAATAATACAAGAGGAAGAGAGAACTTGTTTTTGGGATGATTTCTAATGGAAATACTTAGGCCTATTTATAGTTGAGTTTCAAGAACAATATGTTCAAAGTTTGGCCACCTACCAAAGAATTTTTCAATGTGTACAAGTTAGCCACCAAATATGAAATTCACATGTTCAAAGTTTGGCTACCAACCAAGATGAAATTTTCAATAAGTTGGCCACCAATCAAGATGAAATTTCCAACTTATCAACTTAATTTCTAGACAAATCTAACATTATCTGTATCGGCATTCTCTCCATGCTATCAAGCGCAACTGTTAAGGTTCGATTACATATTCAACTGATTTTCTGAATGCCTTATTATTCCACCGAATCATTTTCTCATTCTTGTTCAACATCCGTTTGTCATGCATAAGGTGCACCGTCGGTTATTTATTTGGGTATAAAATTTTCCAAACATTAAACTATTAGTCATGTCTCGCAGCATTGTCCTGAAGACAACGACCGCTATGTAAGGAACTGTAGAAACGGTCGATATCCGAAGCAGACCAGGTGGTGGTTCCATGATGACAAAGTTTAATGGCGTCAGCATCTTCCTGCAGTAACTAGTTTAATAATAATTATAGATTAGACGAACAGATCCCACTGTCAAGGAGAATGCATTCTTCGAATCTTTGACAACTCCTGTAAATGATTGTATGCTGATATTTCGTTAGAGAAAGATAAAAAGGTAAAGACTTCCATTAGCAACTTGTAAGGAACAAAGCTCTCTCAGTTAATGGTGTTTAACCCATGTGAGAGATGTTTGGTGCACTGTAAGCACTAAGCACATAAATGGGAAACCGTATCTGAATTTGAAGTTGGAGCCATTGTTATATGTTTTTAGGAACAAAGAGATTCATCGAATCTTAATCTTATGCTTTGGTACTCTAAAACACTTTTGGCTCTCTTTGTTTTAATAATTTTCTGTAAAAGAAAAAAAAAATGGCTGTAATTAATAGGAGACAAGAGTGGTGCCAGTTAAAAAGGATTATGCAACTCTGAGCCAACTGAGAATAGTAGTTGTATAAAACAGTATAAAGCTAAGGCAGTCAACCATGGAACCAACACATGGCTCAAGAATGAGTGAATGACACACCCATAGCTCTACAATTATTGGGATTCGTACAACCCAAAATATTTTTTTAAAATAATCTATGAAATATTAGATTCCATTTTTAGGTTTAAATATACAATGAATCTCTAATTTTTTTTTAATGAATTATTGGTTTTTTATTTATACTTTGAACGTTTTAAATGAAAACTAAGTTTGTCGGGTTAGATAAGATAATAATAATAACAATAAATCATCATATATTTATTATTGTTATATTTTTAATGATTCAAACTTAATATTATATATATATATATAATACATTAGTATCCCTGTGTGAATATAAATTTTAAAATTTATTACGTGAATGATAAAAATTAAATATACATTATAAATAAGTAGTTAAGACTATATAATATATGAATTTATTGACATATAATCTTATGTTATTTTATAAAATATTTTATCATTCCATTTATACCATTCTTAAATTTTAAATGTATATCTATTAAAAAATAAAAAAATTATATAAATACACGTTCCATTAACTGAAATTGATCACGGATAGTCAATTTTAAAGTTTTTCATAGGTAGTGACCAAAATAAAAATAATCAATACAATTAGGATTTGGCAATTTATTTAGGATTTTCATGATGGGTTTGGACATATTTTGTTGTAAAAGAAGAGGGATCTGCTTTGAAATACTTGCAAAGCATATGTGGTATGTATATCCATTAAATCTAAGCGCTGTTTTTTATTCATTTATATCATCAAACTTTTGATTTTGTCACTTTTAACGTAAACATTAATTTTTAAGTATAATTATATTACCACGTCGTTAATGATCTATCATTACATAATATTACATGTGTGTGTCATGACATTATTAACGTGGTTGTTTCACAAAAACAAGTCAAAAGTTAAAATTGAATGATATATAATGTAGCATATCCTATATTTTAATTACATATGTTAACATGTGTGTTTAATTAATCATTTAAATATCAATTTAAACATATAATAATAATTACAATTATTGTGGAAGGGAAAACTGTTTTGGTTCATTGAACGAACAAATACTCAAGAAGGCCGAAAAAGGAAAAGTAGCGGATTTTACGGGAACAAAGCTGGTGTGACGACACGTGGCGGTAATCTGACCGTTACACGGAATGAAAACTGGGCCAGACAACAGTTGATCGATGGATTTTTTTAGATAACATCCCTAAGCCAAACGAAAAAACATCCTGTATTTAGTGAAATAAAAAAGAAGAAAAAAACAGCAACTGCAAACGTTTAAGTCAAATTTACCATTCTTTTTCACTTTATGGGTTTTGATTTGTTCATCAGATACAAAGAGAAAATAGATTTTAAAAAAATTACTGGGAAGAGTGAAAGATTGAAAAGAGATTTAGACTAGTGTTGGAAATTTTGAAGCAACTCCAACAGAACCAGCTTCACCGACAAGAAACGATACCCCCAAAAAAATACTGGTATTAGACACTTTCAGTGGGTTTAAGAATAATAGTTAGGTAATGACATAAAGTGTAAACACGTTCAAGAGAGATAGAGAGAGAATTGGCTGTTGCTCGGGGGGAAACAAGGACTGCAATGTGCACCTATTTGGAAATATCGGGTTGGAAAAACATCAAAACAGAGAATTGAGTTTCTGATATGGATAATCAACATGGAGGAGGTACAACAATGGCCGATTTTTTCTCACTAGGAGGAAGAGGAAGTAACAGCCGAGAACATCAACAAAGCAACCCACCAACTGGAATTCAACCAGAGAGCTGGTTCTGGTACAAGAATGAGGACATTTCTTACAAGGGTTTCGGGCCATGGCAGCAGCAGCAAGATCTTTGTTCATCGGCAGCTGGTTTAGGTGTTGGACCGAGCAGGAGCTCGATCAACGTCTCCGATGATTCTTCGAGCTCGAGATCGGGGTTCATGACGGGGAGAAGTAGTAATTGCCAAGATTGTGGGAATCAAGCCAAAAAAGATTGCCTTCACATGAGGTGTAGAACTTGTTGTAATAACCGAGGATTTGATTGCCAGACCCATGTTAAAAGTACTTGGGTTCCAGCTTGTAAGCGCCGTGAACGGCAACAAAATCTTCCTGCTTTGCAGCAGCAGCAGCTTCGTGGAGAGAATCGAACACCTTCTTCCCTTGCCTGCACTCGTTTACCAGCACACATGTCAGGTGCAGTGCTGTTATTGGTGATATATATATATATATATATGTGTGTATATTTATTTGAAGTAAACTATATCTAGTATACTCTCTCAGTGAATCACCTACAGTCTCAAAGATTGATTCTTTTTTATGCATTTAGAAGGAAAATTTTCTACAAAGAGAGATAAGGAACTTGTATCCAGGAAAAAGGAAAACAAAACACATATATCGATTGAATTGCGTGTTGCAATAGACATCCACAGTAAACACTGCAGCAGCTTTTCTTTTCATTTTTTTCCTTTTACGTTTTGTAGTTATTGACGGGAAGAAACTATTTTTTTGCCTCTTGCTTTGCTTCCTCTTCGCTGTCTTCCCTTCGTTTTCCACTAAAATTAAGCTAACCTTAAAATAAAGACTTTTTGTTTGCTTTGCTTATCTAATCTAACAAAAGGTTTGAATTTGTTGTTGGCCATGTTTATTTTTGTTGTATTTTAGGGTTAGATCAACTGGGGAATTTCCCACCAGAAGTGAGTTCACACGCAGTGTTTCGATGCGTGACAGTGAGTAGCATTGACGATGCCGACGAACAGTATGCTTATCAAACGGCAGTGAGCATTGGAGGGCATATCTTCAAGGGAATTCTTTACGATCAAGGCCCTGATTCCGATAGCGACTACAACCACATGGCGGCAACAACAGCAGCAGCAGCTGGTGAGAGTTGTGCCACCACCAACGCGGTTACCTATGCAACTAACGCCAGTGCAGGTAGCGTAAAAGCTTCTTCTTCTTCTTCATCAGCCACCGCAGTTTTAGAGCCTTCATCTCTATATGCAACTCCACTAAACATTTTCATGGCTGGTACGGAGTTTTTCCCAAATCCAAGATCTTAAAAAAAACTAGAGAGAGATAGATGGCGGAGATGTGTTCATTTTTTTCTTGAGGAAAATTGAATGCTCTTGTTTCAAATCATCAATATAAATTATTCTTTCCCTGTTTCCCGTATGGTTTCTGGTTTTCAAAACGAAGACAAATACTAGTTTCTTCTTTGGTTGGACAAACTGCATTGACTGCCTATTTTTCACCCATCACGGTATGGGCGTTCCAGCCATGCATGACTCTTGAGCGAACTCAGCTAGATAGCTTTCATGTTCAAAAAGTGAAACATTAAACAAACCCATCCTCCCTCTTCTCTCTATATATTTTTATTATTTATACAGATCGATGTGATCATCGTAACGTATTGCATTGCATTGCATTACATTGATGTGACTTAATTTATTTGATTAAGTGGGAATATTTCTTATCTCTGCTCCTTGTTTTAATGCCTTTTTCCTGCAACAAACCTGTTATTATTAGCGCGAACTGCAGTGGTATACACTCATTCCCTGCATTGTTCTTATTGGTTGAACTGCTTCCGTTTCTCTATATCCTCACTGAATCTTACTTAAACATACATTATATTTAGATTTAAAGGTTTGAGAATTTAGATATTTTAAATATTATGAACTCATAAAGACTTTAGTAGTTAAAAAGGGTTGTTTTTCTAAAGATTATAGGTTTTAGCATTTTCATATGCAAGATATTTATTTTCCCTGCGAGAGTATTGTCTTTTTTCCCTTCTTAATTTCATGCTTTCCAGGAAATGCTTAATTATATTGCATTAATGTTTCAATTAATGCTAGTACCTAATTCCAGCTGCATTGTTTTATTGCCAAGTTCAAGGTCTGTCAAAACTTAGATTGCACTTGTGTTAGGTTATAGAGTATCTTTCATTGTTTTCCATGAATTTAGAAATAAAGTGGTTAATCCTGGCTTATTTTGGTCCTTGTAATGCTTATTTATAGTACAAATATATTGTCAGTGGTCAAAATTTCTTGATTAAATCTATTAAATAGTATAGACGGTTTCCAACTTAATATGTATGTCTCTTATATGCTGTGTACCTAAATGGAGTCTTTAACCTTTTAGGTATCTCATACATTGATTGAACTACAGTTGATGGGAGAATCCCAGAAAAAAATTTGAGGGTACTTTTTGCATTGGGGAAGAGAGATAATTGTCACATCGTCGCCTTTGTTAAGTCTTTTCAGGGAAGAAGATGTGATAGAACATCTGTGTTTCTAGGTTTTACAGTAGGCAAATTCCCTTGAATTAATCCGAACATCAGAGAACATGGAAACCGTAAACCATTCGATCAAAACATGTTATGATTTATAAATAAAAACATGCATGTGATATGTCCTTGACAAGCTCCAAGTTCCAACTGTGCTTGACCTGACTCCTGCCATACATGTGAATCAAATATAGCGAAAACAAAGTATGTTCGCAAATATATACACGAAGGAACAACAAGCAGAGAAAGAACAACAATGATTAAGCACACAACAGTTGTTTGCTTGAACCGAAAAACCAAAAAAAATGTCATTTAGGACCAGTGGGATTTGTTACATATGTATATATCTACGGGTACATAGTACCTAGGGTGTGGCCACTGTGCCTGTGACTGTGAGGCAGCAGAAAACCGAGATAAATCTTGTGCAGGAAACAATAGTGTGATTTGTCTCTCTAGGGCATCCATCAATGACTGTGGTCCCAAAAACTGGCTTTTCTGTTATTGAGTGTCTCAGCTCTGCTCATCCAAAAGCTTTGGCACTTTGCTTTAATTTACTCCACTTGCTGTTAGGGAGAAAAAAGGGAAGAAAACCCTACTGTGCTTGTGAAGAAGGAGGCAGTCATTGGTATTGGGACAGTCTTCTTCTTCTTCACCTAAGGGAAAATGAAAGAGAAAGGAATAATGTTAATACTGCAAATTGGTTCAACTTCAGCCTGCTGTACACCATTAATAAAAAGCTGACAATAACTTTGTTTCCAGCAGTGAATACATCCAATTTTTTTTCTCTGTATGGATGTTTCTTGCAAGTAGAGCTGCAGGTCAATAAATAGTTGGGTTTCTCAAGTATTCAAGCTCTAACATGTGGGGTTAGTATTCCATTAAAGGATTAAGTTATAGGGTTTAAAGACTATATTGTCACTAAAACAATCTTTATGAATCTAGAAGATGAAAAATAAGTACTTTTTTAGAAATTGGGTTGACCTGCAATTATACTTGGATTACCTTTTAATCAGAAGCTTGTCTCCCATTTGAAAGAGCACATAGTGGAGTGTCAAGTGTCCTATCCTACCATCGTTGCTTTAGGGTCTCCATTTTCTTTCTCTATAATAGTGGCTTCTTAATGGAACAGGTTTGGTGGATGTTTGCTAAAGCTTTCTTGTAGAGAGAGGGGGCTGTGAAATGCTCATGGATAAATTACCTGAGGTGACTGAATTATACTAAAATAATTGTTTCGATAACTAAAATTTTAAAATAAATATTAAACTTATCAAATTATTAAAAATATTATTATATTATTGTAATAAATTATGAAGTATTAATTTAATAAATTTTAAAAGTCTAATGACTAAAAATGGTTATTTAAACATAATTGAACGATGTTTAACTGTTTAAAAAGTTGGCCATGAAGGCATACACTATGCCCTAAAATCTGCCTCAGAGTACTGGAAACAACATACATTCTTAAATGGCATTCTGTTGGATCATCTCTGGACCAGAAATGTGAAACTCCTTTTGCTCCCGTGCACTCTTGTCTTTGCTTCTTCATCTTCCAACTTGTTTGAATATAAAAAAAGTTTATATCACATTCATTTAAGTACTTAAAGTATCTATTTTTGGTAAATAAATGAAAACAAAACTAAAAGGCTAGACTAAACTCGATCATCCTCTTCACTTAGGAGGTTTGCTACTGCTGCAGGTGGTTCTGGAAGATAATGTATTTGCAAATCTTCATGTGGCGCGTATTTGGCGAGTACATCGGCCACTCTATTGCCTTCTCTCATGACATGTTGGATTTGGAGGATCCAAGCCTTCCTTTTTAGTTCTTCTATATGTAGGAGTATCGAGTGTCTTCCTTGGTGATCTTCGCTGTTCTGTAGTAATCTTACAGCCTCCAAGCTGTCCAGTTCTATTTTGACTTGCTTGTATCCTAGTTCCTAAGTGCAATTCATTCCAGAGTATGCCCCCCAGAGTTCCCTTTCTATCACCGAGCATACGCCAACGTATTTATAGAAACCCATGATCCATTCCCCGTTGTGGTTCCTTATGATGCCTCCACAGGCTGTGTTCCCGTTCTTCGGCTCACAACTTGCATCTGTGTTCACTTTTACCCAGCCTTCTATGGGAGGTGTCCATGTGATCTTCTGGCGTGGGTGTTTTCCACATTGAAAAAGGATATACCTTTGAGGAGGTATTTAAAGGGATACTTCTTCCCTACCATATTGAATGTGGGGTGATGACTCCCTTGAACGCCTATGTTGTTGTTGTCCGGTCGACTCGGTTTGTTATTGTGGTCGTTATCATAGCAATTAGCGTGGCCTTAACATGTACCATGTGTGTATTCTTCTAAGTGTGAAACAATATTTTGATGCCATGATTTTCAGGATTTTCTTGCTGTAATTTAACAACTGTTATTTTTTTGAATATTTTGTTAACTTTGAATCTAGACTTTTTTACAGTCAGATTCGTAGTAGACAACATATTAACTCCTGTTTATATCAACTGTTACCACTGTTTCTCTACAGCTTTATTGCTGTAATATTACATTAGGTAAATTGATTGCTTAATTCATATCCTGTTTTTCGTTTTCTCGTATGGATAATGAGCCTATAAGTACAATAGCATTTCAACATCATCCAAAAACCCATTTATTCTTTCGCTACAAACAAGTTCTCATTTCCTTTTTTTTGTTGTTTCTTTAAAATTCTTTCTAGTGAAGAGCAACACCATCTTTGTCCACTTCAATTTTTTGAGTGTAAATATCTTGGAGAACCATGTTAAACTCAGGAGGCATTTGTCCATTATTACGATTACACTCATCGGATCGAATTAGCTTCTAAGGTAGTGGATGTAACACCATAATCCAGTATGACTTGAAGGTCCATGAATTATGATGTCACACGGAACCACCGAAGTAGCTAACCCAAAATTTTTCTTTTTAAATCAATTGTAAAACACCATGTAAAAGAAATTCATTCAAGATAAATAAAACGTAATAATCTAGTTTACAAATACTGGAGAAATCCAATTATTTAAAATAACAAAATACTGAGTTTACTAAAAAAATTACGACTGAATAATAATAGGTTCTACAATAGTACCTATAATAATACAAACCTTATAATAATAATAATCAAGACATACTCTAAAGTCTCTGTTGAATTGAAATAATTGGCGACGATAATGCTCATCGATTGATCTTCTAAGAACCTGCACACAAAAACACATTCAAACGCAGAACTTACGAGCTCAATGTCTCACTAATAACTTTACTATATTACATCCATTCACTAAATATGCATGCTAGAGGCATATATATGAAGATTGGAAATATTGATATGACATGCTAATAAAGCCACTCGGGTTAACACAAAACTATTAACACGGGATTTTGGGCCTTATAGTGGATCACCACGACACAAATTTAAGCTTTGGTTCATTTTATTTTTAAATTTCAATTAGTGCTAGCATCTCTGTTTTGCAGTTTTTATTTCCAGCTGTTTAAGTTTTATCAATTCAAAAAATTAATTTTAAAATGATATTTTGATTGTTACTTAAATAATTTGACTATTTTAAGATTAAGTCTCTGATTATCATATTTCTTCAAGTTCTCTTTCATTTTAAATCTATTTTGATCAACTTTAACTGTGATTTTAAACCACAATAGAGTATATATGTAACTTCATCAATTCATCTTTTTAAAAATAATTTTTTTACAATTTAATCCCTCAACTTTACATGATTTCCTCATTTATGTCAATTCCATTTTCGATCAAATTT